AAGGGCCAGCTCATGATGAGACTTTCTGGTGTAACGGTGAAAGTATTCGAGAGACTCGTGCCATGCGTACGTTGCATAAAGGCATCATCCCGCTGTGTTAGTAGAACCTTTAGAGGCTTACTGCCTACAGAGCTCGAGCCAGCCGTTGGGTTCCATGTTTGAGCTTCGAAGACGCGCCAAACGCGTTCCGAACGTGTTTGCAAATCACCCTAACACGTTTCTAACGTGTTGGCAAACCCCGGATACAAGCTTAATATGTGTTGGTGAACGACTCTAACATGCATAAAAGTGTCAAGACATGAAGTACGTACAGGAAACGTGATTCTCACTGACCTGTTCGTACCGTATGGACTCACTAGTCTGACTTCGTTTACATGGGAATGACGTTTTCTCATGATTTGTTAGCGACTTTCTTCTACGGCCGAGGCATGGGAACCATCTTTTCTACCACGCCCTTATTTTCAGGAGACAATTATTTTCAACGATAACACAGAGCAAAAAAATTTTTTCTGCTGCTGAACGCATTATATTCAATTTAATATAAAACCTTGGCGATATAAACAATTATTTTTCCAATTTTCTGAAAGGATTGAGATGCTCTTTCCATTCAACAATAGTTTCTTTGTGTTGACAATGATTAAGGTAATATATTACTTCTATTCGTTTTCAAGTACTTCAATCCTGCCTAGTTTTTTGAAAAGATTTTCAACAAAACAGTAGAGTAAATATTAATTAATATAATGTAGGCTAAACCTCACAATTTTTATGAATTACGTGTCTTCTAAGGACAATATTAATATTAATAACTACACGCATTTATCACTTGAAAACATATATATGCAATTTGCTGTAAATTCACAAGAACTAAATCTGCAATTAAGATATGGTGAATTTAATTTTCATTTTCTATCGAACTATCGAAGATCATATCTTCATCGAAGATGAAATATTCGTCGAATTTAAATGTATGGAGAATTTTCTTAACGTTTCATTTCTGTTCTGCCTTACACTCATGCCTATTAAAGAACCTACGCATAATGCTCTTCACGCGCAACCAATTATAGCGTGCATTTGCACGCGTCAAGTGCCAATAGCTATCGGCGCGCGCCGTATCCAATGTCCAAATTATGCCCAGCTCATCACTTAATCCAATAATTATAGGCCTCAGGTGTCCTCATCAGCATTTGTCTATTAGTTAAGCCGCAGAAAATCTTTACAAAGCATCGGGTGAGGCATCTTGGTGACAGCCAGACGATGGATCTGGTGTCGCCGCAACGCAATGCTTCATAAAAGCCGCATTCTTGCTTTAAGTGAATACTTTTTTTTGTCTCTTAATGGACTCATAGAATTTCACCGAGTGGAGCTTTAGCGCGTGTCTAAACGTCTAGTAAGGGCGAATTGACTCGTAAATAGAATATCAATAGACGCCATTATAGCTCTCGACATGGCCTTCCAATGCAGCAATATCAGGCAATTTTACAGACATGAATCAGACGTGTCAGATAATGTCGCTAATGTGAGACTTCAACTGATGTATTAATTCAATTTAAAGCATCTACAATAACTGAACAATAAATGCCATTAATTTTGATCATACCTCACATGGTAGTATTTCCAAACTTTTATTTAAAACGAATTAAACAATAAATAAATCTGATCAAACCCTTTCAATTTACTGTGCCGGTTAGTGATTCTGATTATGGCGAATTTAATTATGATTATAATTATCATATCATTTCATATTATTATTGAATAATATTATCAGTCATGGAATTCACGTTTGGCATTTCCTTCACGCCACCCACACACGACACACACACGTCATGCCACACACGTCACGCCACACACACGTCACGCCACACACACACGTCATGCCACACACACGTCATGCCGCACACACGTCACGCCACACACACACGTCATGCCACACACACGTCA